GGTGGTCAAACGATAGCTGTGAGTCCAGGAAGTGACTAAGGCATCTTGTCTCTAGGAATAGGTGCAACTAGTGCACAAGAGGGATTTGTGTAAATCCTGGCCATGATTACCACCTGAACTTGATCAGTAGCCACAAGTTCAAATGGACTGCTAACTTGTACAACAAATCTTGGGGGGCGGGGGGAATTCAACTGACATCTGGCAGATGCCTAAAATAGTCCTACCAGGGCTTGGAATGCAGCATTGATACCAAGCATCAAGGCTGCCTTCTCTAAGAACAATCCACTCCTGGTCTTCACCTTATGCCCTCCATCACTACTGCCTACTCTTTCATCTCTTCATAACATCCATCACCAAATGATGCTTGCCCCCCCCCAATCAAAGGGCACATCATACACTAGATGACACACTAAGATTGACATAAGATTAAAAGTAATCCGTGCTCATAAAATAAGTGTATAAGTTCTATCCTACAGTCTTTTGCTAACAATTGGACTTGCTTTTAAGGTTCTCAGCCTTAAAAGAGTAAATACATTGTGATGTTATATGAGTGCAAATATACAAACTGAGATTATCTCATTCGAACCTATTTAAACAAGTTATTATTTATTAAATCATTTTAAAAGTAACTGGTTTTAGACATGTCAGCAAATTATAATCGAAACCCAGTGGGGGAAACTTCAATTTGCTGGAATTTCCTCTTACTGAGTCTGAGAGGCCATCCTGAAAATAGAAAAACCTTCTATTAAGAACAGTTGAGCTGGATTTTATTAGAAAGTTTAATACTTTCTTGGTTCCTTGTTGCGCTCCAGGCAGTAATTAACTCACATAATAGTTGTCATAGTTGACACCTATATTTCTGCACATAATAGAATGAAAGTTTGGAAATGTTGAGGGTATGAATTTTTAGGAGCACCCATTTAAATGGAGAGGTTTTGTGCAGAATCACATAGCAAAGTGACAAGAACTGGAGCTGTTGTAACTAGGAAATAGCTTTGGAGGTTTTTTATTGGTCATATAGTACCATTTATTCAATGTTTCCTATTTGTTTCGTCAATTTTCACATTCTGGAATTGATCCAGGCCTTTTAAAGTACTTTCTTTTTTTTTAAAGTATTGTGAAGCTACACAACCTGAGCAGTCAAACATTGGTAATAAATGCAATTTGAATACACACACAGACACATACACACATATATATATATATATCTAGTATGTTTAGAATAGGTTATCTTTTCCTTTAAGCCAATCTTGCTTCAGCACTGGGGAGATGCTTGTAGCAACTTAGGTTCTTTCTCTCTGTAACTCTGACAAACCAGAATGGTTCTGTTGTATAATTTTTCACTCAGCCTAAACCAGGAGTGTCCAAACTTGAGAATTTTAACACTTGTGGACTTCAACTCCCAGAATTCCCCAACCAGCTGGCTGGGGAATTCTTGGAGTTGAAGTCCACAAGTCTTAGAGTTCCCAAGTTTGGACACCTCTGGCCTAAACCATCAGAATAAAAAATGGGAGGAGGAAATACATAGAAAATAAGAGTAAGGGACTGTGAAAAATTATACAATTTAGCTCAGTTTTCAATAATGGAAAACAAATTCTGAATTTGCTCAACCCTTAGTGTGTCTTTTGCTTCCGATGCCAATAAAAAAGCCAAGTTAATCAATTTGAAAGTTTCCTACAGACTTAGTGATTCTCGTTAACATACAGCAGTTTGGTTGACTCATAACACAAAGCCAGTGAGGTTTGTTTCAAACACAGGGCTTGGCAGAAGCAGGCTCTATTCTGTTCTCACCCAGCAATGCTGTCTGGGGGCTAATATTATA